GGGGGGGGGGGGGGTCTCAAGGGTACATTATTGTTAAAGTCACCTGGAACTAATATTATCACTGCATTTATACATTTGTGACAACTTAGACCCCATTCCCATACCTAGATCTATCTAGCAGGATAGACCTATCTTTGAGGGCTTAAGTGGCTTAGATGTCTGGCATACCCACTGAAGCTGCTTACCGATGGTTAATTACCGCCTAACAGCTTCAGTAGGCATGCCAGACATCAGAGCGACTTAAGCGAGACCCCTCAGAAATGGGTCGATCCTGCTAGATCGGTCTAGGTGTGGGAACAGGGTTTTAGTTTTTAGGCATTGGTCTTGCATATTTAAAGTATTTGAAAATCTTTTGAAAATCTTTCCAGGTTTGGTATCCTTGCTCTACAAGAAATTGCTGACAGAGAGGTTCTGGATAAGGTAAGTTTAAGGTTATTATGCACCCCAAAGCAAACAAATAAACAGTAATGCAATAAGCTAAAGTCAGGGCCGTAGCCTCCGGGGGGGCAGGGGGGGCAGCTGCCCCCCCTGGGATTTAGAATTTTCCACACTGGTAGGGGGACACCCCCTCCCCCCTCAGGGGCTTTGCCCCCTTGTGTCCGCTTACTGCCCCCCCTGGCATTTTGCTCAGGCTACGGCCCTGAAAGTCATTCAGATTTTTATATAATTTGATTTGAGATTTCAAAGAAATAAGGATGGTACTGATAATAAAAATCCTGCCATTGAAAATAAGCCTGAAACATGTGTGGGGAATAAACTAAATTGAAAGTACATATCTGCTAATAGGTATTTTAAATTATTGGTTGACAAATTGAATTAGTATTGATTTGTTTTCTTAGATCTGTGATGAGCTGAACAATCCTATTATCCCTAATGTAAAGAGCTGGAAGGGGCAGAGAGGACACTGGAAAGCTGTGATATCAGATACTCCAGCTGGGAGAATGTATCAGGTACTTACTTGTGTAGGGGGTAACGCCTCCCCCCCCCAAAAAAAAAAAAAAAAATAAATAAATAAATAAATAAATATTTAAATGAAAATAATAAAATAATAAAATACCTCTTACACCAGGGATTCAACTTCTGAGATTCATCCATCTTGCCATAGAATTTGCTCCTATTTGCATCATGTCTTTATGTCTTTCAAGATAACACATACTTTTCATTTGCTTCCACTTGCCTTCCAGCAAGTACTTATTCAGATATATATATATAAACCAGTTTTACAAGTTGGCTAATTTTCAAGTTTCATTTCATTTAGTACAGTGTTTAGTAATGGATAAGAACAGATGACTGAATTATTATATTAACTATGAATTATACATCCAGTTATAGTATGTTGTGTGTGTCATTGTGTTGTGTATATTGGGTCTTAAGGATGATCAGTTTATAGTGACTAACAGTTACGTGCTTAGTGAACAGCAGAGAATTAAAAACTATTTCTCTATTTTTCCAGGCTCCAGAATATAATGGATTTATCTATGACACCAGCCAAGGCATTGAGGTGGTGTCATCTTCCCTCATAGAGCGACACCGCAGAGGGGCACCCAAGCAGTTCGCGAGGAGGCCATTTATGGTGGTTTTTAAGGTTTGTGCCAGACGATGGTAAAAAATACAACCTTATTTTTGAATGGAAAGTAAATTTTCATCAAGTAGCTAAGATTTGTACTTATTCATGTTTGATAGGGACTGAAAAGAGACAAGAATGTCAGTTTATAATATGATAATATTTTGAAAATTTTTTACTTTTATGATTTATTATTTTTCAAACTTGCAGTCAACCTGATATAAGTGATAATGGTATTATCTTATATTGACTTACACATAACAGTGCAAACTACAAAAGCATTCTTCATTCTCCAGGCAAAGGAGCTCGACTTTGTTGCGGTCAGCGTCCACTTGAAGGCCACTGGACTACAGATGGAGGACCTTGACCGTTTGCAGGAGGAGATAGGCCGGTGTCCATTGGTCTTGGAGGCTATTCAGGAGCAGCTGCCTGGGGAGAGGGACATCATGATCCTGGGGGACTTTAATTTGGGACCAGAACAGGAGGGTATGTTGAGTGTTTTAGAGTCAATAAAAGGAATCTTGGGTGACTTGAATTTTGAAGCAGAGCAAGAGGGTATGTTGATTATTGTAGAATCTAAAAAAGGAATCCTGGGTAATTTTAATTTGGGACCAGAACAGGAGGGCACTTTGATTATTCTAGAATTTACAAAAAGAGAACAAATTTATTAATATGTAAAAAATGAATGAAGGTTTGGTTCTCATGGGCAAATTATTCTGTAAAAATGAATAAACATTGATTTCCTTTGACTTTAAATTATCTTGTCTAAGATATAAACTGAAATGCTTGCCAAAAATTACTGGAATATGCTTATCTCATATGGACAATCTGCATATTGCCAAAAGATAATACCATACTTCATAATTAGTTTACTTTGTTAACACTGTGGTGGATTCTCCTTTGAATATTGTGAATTGTGTTGAAATACTGGAAAATGTTATTTTTTTTTAGTAAACCCTTTGAAATATCCAAGGTTTATAATGTTACATGTGGAGTGTATAGCTGTTCATTGTCATGGCAGTGGAAATGTGAAAGACAAGTGAATTTTAATTTTTATAAACACAGAGACTGTCACATGAATAAGAAATCAATATGACTAATGAGGTTAATTTATACAAAATATATATATATAACGGTTACCAAAATTGTGTCTGTACAATGTAGGTATAAATTTTACATTTCTTAATATATGCTGTATATGTACACATTCTTTTACCAGATTTTGATGCATTCCGTGATGCCGGGTATAAGAACACTGTAGATGAGCACACCAACACTAACATCAACCTGCGCAACTTGAAAGGCAGCAGAACCTACGACAACATTTGGATGAGTAAACAAGCACAGGATGTGTTCACAGGTGAGAGAAGTTTGAAAATTAATGACACAGACAATCACTATTTACCTGGCTTTACTAACCAGGTCTGGGGCCAATACTTATGGGATTATATGGGCTGGAACATTTTGTTTGATGTATGAAGTATACAAAATAAATTCATATATGAATAAATAGTAATAACAGCATTGATAGTGGCAATTTACTGATCACTGACGCCTGTCCATTTAGACAAACTTCACCCTCTTGGGCTATATGCCATGAACACCTCTTGCTGATGCTCGAGGTATTATGGCATAGATCGCTCGGGTGACAGTATATTATCTCACTCATAATGATTGTAGTAGAAGTAGTAGTTAAAGTAGTAGTAGTAGTAGTAGTAGTAGTAGTAGTAGAAGAAAAATAATTATAATCTTGTTGGTTGACTAAACAACTTAATTTCACTCTGAAGCTTAGTTGTCATATTTTGTAATTTTGTGTTCTCTGATTTTGTCATATCTCTTGATATACAGGTAAGCAAGTTGAATATTCCTATCTGCACATCCTTTATTCTTTTACTAACTTAAAGTGATAAGATGCTTAAGACCTGTATAAATCTTTTTTTTTTTAAATTTCTCAGGTCAGTCTGGGGTCATTCGTGAGGGGTTGACCCACCAGTGGATACCCCATGATGACTGGTTTTGGGGAGGTATAGTGGCTGACCACTGCCCAGTATGGGCCGAGTACTTCACTGACCACGACATGGATGCCGATGGTGACCTCACAGCTGGCGTGAAGGGGATCAAGGTGGAGGAGTGAGAACTGTGGCGAATCTGAGGCTAGTTTAAATATGACAGAGAGAGAAAGTGCAAATCTGATGATGTATAATTTACTACTTACAACCAAATTTTGTTTGAGGAGTACATGGTGTAATGTCTGTATCAGCATCACTGGTTTGTGCACTAAAAAGTATGTAGACAAGCATTTTCAGGGAATTTTTTAAAGTATTTTATGAATTTATGAATTTTGTGTCGTTTAAAAGATTTTACGAATTTTTAAGGCAATAATATTATAATTCTGCATTACAGAATATTTTTCTTCCCAGAGATTATTGGAGTTATCATATTTTTACAGGATCGTGTGCAACTATGTCTCTTTTGAAAAGTATAGAGTAGCTTTTTGAAAAAAATTAAAGGGTAGTGTGTATAGCACTAAAAGTGATTTAAAATCTAACTTCAGAAACTTAGTTGAGGTAGTTGAGTGAGGTCTTAGGCACTTTAGAGATGTGGGGTTGTGTCTAACATGGAGCAAAAAGAACAAGATTCAGAAGAATAAAATTGGAATTTTAACATTTTATGGAGTGACTTGGTGGAGAAAAGAAAATGCAGTTATCAATGAATGTGAGTTATGGGGTATATGATGCAAAGAATGATGTCACTTTGTGTTAACTTAGTAATGTTTGACTTCCATAAATATGGTTTAAAATGGTGCTGTACAAAATGGTAGGTTTTAGAGACATTGTCTCCTGAATGTGATATGCTTTTAAAGGTGATTACTTGTGTAGATTTTAACATAATAAAATAGCTTCTGGTGAGACACCACATGATAAATATGCTCATTAGATATTATATTAGTTTGTGCCCAATCATTCTCTTTTTTTTAAATTTTAGGCTGGTAAAACTAGGTCAGTATGGGGTGTTTGCCCTCTCTCCTTTTTCTTTTATTTAGTGTGAGAGTAGATTTTTTTAGTTTTGGAAATATTTATTGGGATTATTTTTTTGAATGGATATTTTACGCCTTTTTTACCAGTACTGTATAAGGGCATCAAAGTTTAATGCATTTCAACAAAATTTTTGACCTGTTTGACTTTTGGCATTGGGTTGAAATATTTCAGTATAGAGTCTTTGAGGTAAATTGAGATATTAATACAGTGTTGCTTAAAAGTGCTGATATTTTTTTGCCATTGACTGGAATCAAGGTGTGTCATATGTTACAGAATCAACAAAATAACATGTACACTCTTTCTAAAAAGAACAGATCAATAAACACTGTGTCTTATAACTATTTCTTTATTTCTTTATCAGAAAACTTACATATTTTATGTTTTCTAAGAAGCTTGAGTCATCAATTTACCATGATTCATGTTGAAATATAAGATTGTGATGTAATTTGAAAAGTAATCAAGAATGCTTTGAAAATAAATGTAATAAATGGTTTCAGTGTTTGTACATGTATCAGGCATGTCAGACAGAAACATTTGAGAAATAGTGTCCTGGCAGTGTACAGCTGAAATATATGCATCTATAAATCTTATGAAACATTTACAAAATTAAATATTGAATGACATATTGTCTTAGGCAATCTTCAAAACTCTTCGTCCAACACTTTGAAATTGAAAGGAAAAACAATTACCTTATTTCAGATCATGATACTGTATATTGAATGAGTTAACTTTTCACTTTATTGTGGACTAGAATATCAATAATGTGAGTTACAAATATGAGAATATTACTAATAACGACCTTTCCTTAAACATGAAGGGGAGAGTCTTTGAATACACACACACATGCAAAAATAATTTTTTAAAAGGTCACCACTGCTACAAAAATACTTTAAAAGTTCTATGGAAGTAAAATTTTCAATCTTTACATATATGCAAGATTTTAACACAATTATAGTATATAGCACTAAATAAATATGTGGAAATAATGCAAAAAAAGAAAGACTAGGCACTAAGTCATGTACATGTAGTCTTAGACTTGTTGCAAAAACCAGATATGTTTTTGAGAGATAAAAAGATTGTATTAAATACAATATTTTGCACTAATAAATAACTATATATCTTAGAAGAACATTTCTGACAATTGTCATGGGTTTAGCTTTTAATGGCATTTATTTTTTTTTTGAATTTGCAAAATGTTCATTCTTAAAATGTCTTTCCCCATTTGTATGAGATCTGAAGAATATCACATCCACAGTGATCTGTGCCTTAATAAGTGTATTTTCTAACATCAAGATGATTGTACTGTTCATAGGCCCATCATAACATACTTTTATAAAAAAAAAAAAAAATTGTGAAGACATGGAAGACATATTCTACAAATACTGTATATGAGACATGATAGTCATTCGCTACCTGAGAGTATATGGATTCTAGAGAGTCACAAGAACCTTCCCTACCATGAGGTAAGTCACAGCAAACTGGCAGTTTTTAAGCGTAAATATGTATTATACTTAATAAACAGTAAAACTGATAAACTACCAGTATTTCCCTCCCCCCTCCAAACCCCCACCCCTCCACATCAGCACTATAACTGAACATAACACTTCACAATCAATGCACCATCTAAATATCTCTCCCTCAACCCCTTTTCCCCATAACTTGCATTTTATCAACTATTTTTACCTTTATAAAACACATCTTTCCACATACTGTGATTTCTCTGAGTGACAAGTACTTGTATTACCACTGTGACTCAAAATATCAATAGGAAAGACAATTACCAGTCAATAATTAAAACTGCTTGCTGAACCACATGATTTCAAATTTATGTCATCCAAGTCGGGTACAACTCTCTTCAACTCTGCATCGGTCAGTCCATTGGCTCTCACAATGTGGTCCAGTCTTCCCAAATACCAGTTTGTATCCTGCATGAAGTATGGGATACGGGTCTCTTCAAAGTCGCCCATGTTTTTCAATTTGTCCACATCTTTATAAGAAACCTTGCCCAGCCTGGCAAGGGCGTGGAAGTCGATGCTGTGTCTGTAGCGTAACAGTTCTAAAGCACCTGTCAAGTAAACTTGGTCCTTGCTAAATCCACCTGAAAATTTGGGCAAAAGTAAGATATTGTTTTGTATTTAGAAACATCATCATGGTATTTCATTTGTGTTAGCATTTATACTGCTTTTTGTCTTTTAAAAAATAAATTAATTTTTTCTTTTAATAATGAGCTTATCTGATTTCAATTTTGAATATTCATGTATGGATTGATAGGAAAGTGTAAAATTCAACCATCTGCCCTTGATTTTATTAATTCAGCACACACACACACACACACACACACACACACAGACACACACACACACACACACACACACAGAGTTTGTCCATACCTGGCTGTGAGGTATCAGTCTGGCCTCTCTTGGTCCTCATACAGTAGTCCCATCTGGTGTGAGGATCTTGAACAAACCTTCCCAGGTCTTTGAACAAGTCCCTCAGTGACATGTGCGCTGCCCAGTACGTCGTGTAATACAATATGGCAGCCCGCCACAGAGATGGATCCTTCCTGACCAGTATACTGTGTAGTGCAGCAAGGCCCTCCTCCGTTGGGTTGATGGGTTCCATGTCGAGCTCTTTGCGTTTCTTCCAGTTGTACCAGGGCTGGAACTGGTTGTTGTAGCTCCGAATGTAGTGAGTCCCTGAAATGAAAGGGTGATTTGAAGCATTGTACAGATTTGCATTGATTCATTTTCTTAAAATACAGTGTATACTCTAAAAAATGCAGAAAATGATACAGATTACTAGGGGGCCGTAGCAATAGTCCAAAGGTTCATTGGTCCGAATGTTCACTATAGAACCTTCGGACCAATGAACACTTGATTTAAAAAAAAAAAACGATGAAAAATTTGCCATTTTTCAGACCAATGAAACTTCAGACCAATGAACCTTCGGACTACTGAGACGCCCCCGATTACTAGTACCTCCTTTCCTATTACATTTTATATATTTAAACCTAATTAAGCCATATGAGACTCACCAACTTCATGGCGTAGCAATCCATCCACCCAGTGCTCCCTGAGGTTCCAAACCCTGACATTCAGAGTGGGCTTTCCCTTCACATTTGTCATAGAGGCACGCGACATCAAAACTTCTGACAAGTTTACAGAGATTTCCTCCTCGAGATTTTCTTTTCTGAAAACCAAAAATGAGAATTGGTTTGGATAAATACTGACCAGAATTCCTTTTGTCTGATATTACTCAATGACTTGCTCCAACACAAAATTTACAAGTTATTTTGTATTTATGTACCAAATGTACATTTTGCACATAAGGTAATTTCATCTGAACACTTTAAATGAGCTGCAGTGCCTGCATTTTTTAAATCTTCTCTCTTTTTAATAACAACAAAATATTTGCAATGTATAACAAATTTGGTGTCAATTGCAATTAAAACACTGTCAATTGTTATTCACAATAAATGTATGAATAACAAATTTGGTGTCAATTGTATGAATAAATTAAACAACATTAAAAGTACCTGAGATATTGAAGCACCATGGCCATAATTTGAGTTCTTGACATGGGTTTCCCTCCCGTCTTCTCCTCAAAGGTCTCGTAACTTCCATACTTTGCTATTGCCGTCTCCATGATATGTACAGCCTGAAATGTAACAATTAGGGTTACATACTTTTTGTAGATGTGGTGGTGTTCTTATTTTGGCAAAATTTGTTACAATATTATTTAACACTGTAAGCATCACTTTGGTTGCAGATTGAATGCTCAATGATCGGCCAGTCATTTTACTCTCAAATGGAGCCAGAAAGGACACCGTTGTGTGTTAAGGGGGCTTTAGTAATCCATTCATTAAATTCTAATCTGTTTTAGATTTACTGAGACTGTAAGAACAACAAGAACAGGAAAGAAAAACTGAATTTTTTTATAACCGTGAAGAGCACTTTATCTATTAATGTACTGGGAGTATCACCCTGTGTATCACATACCTGAGTGAGGTATCTATCAGAAGGATTACTTGTGCGGGCCAGCACCTCAGGATCAGCAGGGTACTTGTATATGAAGAGAGGGTGATAGTTATAACTGGCACGAAAAAAGCGTGCCTTTTCCGATTCCACATTCTCTGGCTTTATGGCAACCAAGAGAGCCACTTTCCTTTTCTTTTTCTCCTGAAATGAGCCTGTTTGATTTGTCGAAAAAACACTGGAAGCTCTGGTTTGTTGAACTGATGGAAGTTTTGTTGATGAAGACCAAGTGGCTTGTTGGGATGCACACCTAGTCATTTGGTTGGAAGGTTTTGAGCTCAGCTCCACCCGTTTCACATTAAATCCCAATAACTGCTGTGTAGTTTCAGTAGTAGTACACATAGCTGATGATGTTGTAATCCCGGAATAATTCCACGCTGGTTTCAAAGTACGGATATCCCTACTGGAAGGTTTTCTACTTGCTGGTCCACCTGTACTTTGTCTTTTCCGTTTCTTTTTGCGTTTTCGTGATTGTGGAATGCTCTTTTTTCTTTCACTCTCATCATCTGAACTCTGAAAGCTGAAACTATCTAGAAGAGCTGTTGTCGATACAGCTGTGGCCATTTCGACTTTTTAAAGCATAGGTAAATGCTAGCTTTGCAGGACTGCACACATTTTGACCTTATTCAAGAAGTCTTCATTCCCGTTTTCCATTGACATTAAGACATCATTGATTGCTTGGCCTCGTTAATCCAATCCTTTGATATATTTGACACCAAACTACTCAAATATGTACCAAAATCAACCAAGCGTTTTGATGCAGCGGCGACAAAACTTTCACAATTTTAAATTACCTCCTTGGATACGATGACGCCATTCCTTCCCACCGGAAGCGGAAGTGTCATCAAGGTCAAGGCCAGAATGGCTCATAAGGAGAAGAAAATCGCTGAAGCTCTTGATCACATAAAAGCAGCTGAAAAATAGTGAGTTGATGTTGTTTGATTGTATTTTTATGTGAGATATAATACTGAACCTATTCCTTATATGAATGTAAAGTAATATTCTCCTATTCACTGCTTAAACGCAAAACGTTTTATAGCCTTGGGTCCTGGTATTTTAAATGCATAAAGGCAAAGGGTCGATATACAGGTATATTGGCATTTTCATTCATGAAATATCGAGCCAGCTTTAACTTAAACCGTTACTTGGAATCAAACAAGGGATATACACCGCTTCATTGCCAGTCAGTCCTTCGGACTTATATCAGTGATGAACGTGATTCTAGGTATCGACCTTTCAAAACATTGCATGTTATTCTCCAACACCATGCATGCAAGCAAATGTGATGTTGTTACATGACTTTTGTATGTCTATTGGTACATGTATTTCAGACTGATGACCATCACTCTAACACAGCTCCAGCTTATGAAGATTCTCTCCACCTTTTCTGTTAAACATTTAACAGTATCTCTCCCGGTTTTTTTTTTCATTCAAAATACAGTACTAGTATTATAAATATTGGGGTGGTTTAAATGATTTGGAATTAATTTTATTGTACCCTATAGAACTACGAGTAGTATACATGCAGTACATGATCCATGGCTATTGGGTACATGTAAATATTATATTGATGCCAATGTTATTTTTTCAGTTTGAAGACTTCTTTCTTCAAGTGGAAGCCAGATTACGACAGCGCTGCAAATGAATACCTTAAGGCGGGTGGGTGCAGCAGTGTGAAACTGTTTATTTTCTACGGCTTAGAGTTCACCAGATTTAACATGTTGAGACCCAATGCTGAAATTACTCAAACCATTTTAATAGATATTGTTCATATGCAGTTATGAGTTAAAAAAAAAAACAAAACATTGTTTATTTTCTATGGCTCAAAGTTTACCAGATTTAACATGTTGAGACCCAATGCTGAATTTACTCAAACCATTTTAATTTATATTGTTCATATGCAGTAAAAAAAAATATTGGACTGTTATTTTAGATGCGAGTGAGATTAAGATAAAATTTAATTACCGTGTATCATCCATTTATGTATTTATACAGAAAAAAAAAAAAAAAAGATGTCAGACAGTAAAAGAATCCTCCAGTCTAAAATATCCATATAAATTTTGAATGTCAATAAAGCTTGCTTTCCTGACTTCAGGTGTTTGCTACAGGAATGCCAAGGAACTGGAAAAAGCTAGGGATATATATGTTAAGGCTGCAGAAGTTCAACTTGAAATGAAAGCGTATCCTTGATTGTCTTGTATAAAATAATCAGGGGCGGATTTAGGCGGTCTTCTGGGTCTTCCGGAAGAAGGTCAGATTTTCAAGTTAAAATTGATGGGCAACTAATTTCTTTGTCAGAAGATGGTCAAAAATGGAGGATGGATCAACAAAGATAATTTGGAAGGCTGTCAGAAAATTTCTATGAAATTTCTATGAATTTCTAACAAAATACAGTATTCACACGTAACAGTACTTGAACAAGTTATACTTAAATGAAAAGTATATGCAATGTATATCAAAGAAATAGAAAATGATGGTAAAAATAATTGCATGCATTGCAGTTATAAGTATTTGGAAGGAACCTGTGCTTTATGCCTGTGAAAAATGTTTGCCTTAAGTATTGAATGGAAAACAAGCATTATGATGAATGTGTTTAATTTCTTAACTGAAGTTTTTCAGATTATTTCATGCTGCCAAGTAAGTAAAAATCATATCTTTATATCTGTCTTTTGATGGAGAGAGAGAAAAACATGAATAGGAAATTATTCTTATAAAAATGAGCACTGGTGAATGTAGTTTTTCAGAAAAAACAATAATTTACATTTACCAACCTGATTATTATAGGCATATCCCTGTTTGCAAGAGTTCCCAGTTAAGATGCTTAGTGATTAAAGGGATAACAACTGTTCTTTTTTTTGCCAAAAAATGGGTTTTGCTGGAGTAAATAGCAATTTTCACATACTTACCAATGGTTAATGAATCCGTTCCAACAATCAAAGTTAGTCCCTGTTTTTTTTTTTTTTTTTTTTTTTTAAGTTTTGTTTTTTGTAATAATCTCTTAATAGATTATTATAGAGGGTAGCCATCTATTGAGGTCAAGTGGTCCAATGCCAATCACAAATTTAAAAATAATTATGATAACTGCTGTTTTGTCGGTAAAATAGTATTTATTATATTTTTATGAGTTGTTTACAATATATTTATTGTGAAATATGGATCTCATGTGTCAATACGAACAGATTTTATCCCTTTAATAACAAATGTACTGTATCTGTTTCAGAGCCTATGAACAAGCAGGGTTGATTTCCAAGGATATGAACCGACTCGAGGAAGCTGCAAACTTAATGGAAAGAGCTGGAGATATATTCAGGGAAAATGGTGTTCCAGATACGGCTTCCTTAACATTAGAGAAGGCAGCAAAGTAAGCGTATACATATCATCTTTGTATGAGAGTATTATGTCTTTCTTGTATTCTGTTTTAAGGCAAGATTGATTAAAGGTTTTTATTGAAAATCCTTGTAAATGCTGCTTCAATATAATTTTCATTCCTTCCTATTTCTTTGTCTGTTTGTAGTTTTTGATTGCAGGTACCTTGAAAATTTGTAATTTATTACTTACTTCTGTGCTGTTTTTTATTTCAAGGATGGTTGAAGCCTCAAAGCCAGACAGGGCTATAATGTTATATATGAAGGCATGTGATGTGGTGGAGGTAAGCTAGAATTTACTTTCACAAGTCATTTTCTGTCACCCTTTTATAGTACATGAGATATTCTGCCCCAACTGTTTTTTCTTTCTTTAGCAGTTTTGAATTTTAACAAGTGAAAGCAAAACTACAGCCCATTTATTCAAAAGAGAAACATAATTAACATAAGAATTAAGATTGTATTCTTCATCTTCTTCTTCTTGTGTATCTGACAAACGGCAGGTGTAGCGTATAGATTGCTTTAGATGGATTGAAATAGGATGAAGATTTTTTTGGATAGGGGTGGGGTGGGGGATAGGCTTCAAGTTAGATAAATGCTAAAAGTAAGCATGTGCCACCCTTAAAGAATGGGTGTGTTTTCTTATGATGCATGTTTTCTGTGGTTTAGAATGAAGACAGACCTAAACAGGCAGCAGAAGTCATTAAAAAAGCAGCCAGTTTATTAGTGAGGTGTAAAAGGTTAGTAGGATTGCTTTCTATTGATCTGTTAGTTTCATATTTTTCTTTCCTCTGTTTTTTATTCTCATGGACAAGTATTAAAATAAATTTTGGGAAATATTAAGATAAAATTTATTTAAAAGTCTAAAAATTGATGTAAAATGAATATGATCATGAAAATGTTTTCAATTATGATTTGTGTGGCTGAACTAACAAGAGAAGATGCCATCAGAAAAATGACATTTTCAAATAAAACTGTTATTCAATCCTCTCCAATTATTGATAAGAAGCTTAAATGAAATGAATAAATCTGATATTGAATTAATCTAAATATGGGAAACTTCTGGGATTTTTTTTTTCGGTTTTTTATTTTGATAATTTTTTGACCAGTTATTCAAGCAAGGCGAAATATATAAAACATGACTTCAGCAGGTAAACTTGATGTTTTAAAGGTTTGAAGAGGCCTCCAAAGTGTTACAGAGAGAAATAGATCTTAATTCAGAGGTAGAAAACTATCCCACCATATACAAAGCTGTACTAAATTTAGTCCTGGTACATCTACACAAGGAAGATTACGTGGCTGCTGATAAATCATATAAAGGTGCTTTCAAGTAAGTGAAATTTAGCCTTGTAAAGTTATCTGTAAGTTATGAAGTATGTAAGGAAGTTTTTTAAAAATTTTTATGTGATGTTTTGGGAAAATTTTTATTAATTTCTAAACACAAATTACTCTCACGAGGGAGTCGCCTAAATCTTTTAAGGCATTGGGACTGTTCACAATAATTCAACCAAGCTTTAGTGCACTAACTTCGCAGGGACTCTTTCTGAACGCAATTAGATTTACAGACTAACACGTCTCCTCCTGGCATTGAGCATGATATGGAAAATTGGTGATTTTAGGAGTACGTTGGCAACAAGAGGATGTGTGTTTGTTTGTTAATCTGATTGCATTCAGCGAGAGTCCCCATGGAGTTAGTGCGCATTAACTGACTGCATTCAACGAGAGTCCCATGGAGTTACCGCGCATTAGCTAGGGTTACAAAACCCATTTGTGAACATTCTCATGTTCTCATACGGGAGTGTCCTAAAAGTTCAGTGCTTTTCATGAGCTCTACTTTCTGTAGACATTATAGACATTATCACTGAAGGTATCTAATTCTCTTCCAGTTACCCTGGTTTTGTAGAAAGTGAGGAAGCCTCGGCCCTGGAGCAGCTTTTGGATGCCTATGACCAGGGCGATAACGATACACTTCGGGCAGTGTGCAATCTCCCTCTATTCAAATACCAGGATAACCAGGTAAGTTCCCACTCCCTGAACTTGATCAGATGAAAACATGTATGGATTTATACTGAATAATACAGGGTGTATTGGACCACTAGTGTTTGCCACATATGCTAAATATTTTGAATGCATATTAAAAAAAGGTAGCATTATTTTATATTTGAAGTATGATTGAAAAAAAAAACACTTGAAATTAATATCTTTAAAATAAATTAAATTGTATATTTCAGTCACAAAAAACACACTTTATTAATTAAATAACTAGCAGGAAAAGAAATTGTAAAGCATCATTTTACTTTCTCACTGAAGAAGCATAACTAGATTTAAAGTTTTTTGTTCTTGAGAGTCATTTTTTATCACTGTATAAACAGCAAGATTACCATATAACTGCACATTATCTGAAAAAAAAAAAAAAACATTTATTTTTACTTATTCCAGACGTAACCATAGCTGTTGAAATAATGAGATAAATCAATTTTGTTTTTCAGTTTGCCAAACTAGCACGGGACTTGGCCATCCCTGGTGAGCAGAGACGGAAGCCAGAGGCAGTCAGTGGAGCAGATGCTGGCTCAGGGTCAAGTGCCGCACCCCAGGGTGGAGCCGAGGAGGAGGATGAGGATGAGGATGAATATGCAGGAGGATTGCTCTAACTTTTAAATTAATATATTATCATATGTAAAGACACATGGCTGTGGAAATTGTGGTTTTTGAGATGTGTAAACTATGACCCTGTTCCCATACCTAGATCAATCTAGCAGGATTGACCTATCGCTGAGGGGTTTCCTGCTAAATTTCACTCAGCTTGAGCAGCTCTTATGTCTGGCACACCTACTGAAGCTGTTATGGGTGCCAGACATCTTAGCCACTTAAGCTGAATGCAATTTAGTGAGAAACCCTTCAGGAATGGCTCGATCCTGCTAGATCTATCTGGGTATGGAAACAGGGTCTATGCCAGTTGTGTAGCAAGTTTTTAACAATGGATTAACTTCAGAAATCAAAGGACACTGGTAGTCAGAAATGTGTTGAATAAGCATGTACTGTTGTATAGACATTACTCCAAAGAGAGGCTTTGCCAGGGCATTTCTATTACTCATTAGTACATGAGTCATTTCAAAGTACATGTATTTTCCTCTTCTCTTCCTACTTTCTTTTACTCTTCTCTTCCTACCAACAGAATCGACAGTGCACTTAAGTGCAATAATTTACCCCCTTTGAAACAGGATGAGAAGAGAGGAAAAAGAAAAAAGGAGAAAAGGTAGAGTGGATTGAGAACCTCCGATGACAGCTAGGCCGTAAGCAAGGAGGGGGAGGGGGGTCACAGCAACTTCTCTTTAAGCTGGAAAATCCACTCTGAAACAATATTTGATCTTGTAGGTTCATTTCTCAAGTTAGGTCAGCAGAGAGGGTACAAAGGTTCACCTTTTCAGAACAAGATTCTCCCCTACTGACATTGCTGCCTACAGGTAAGAATGGGCCGACATGTATAAGTTCTTAACTATCCTGCACCCAACTACATATACTTCATGATTTAAAGTGCAGTAATGCTAACAGGGTGTAAACCAATTCTGCACTGATGCAAATGACATCAGTTGGCTTTTAGGATCCAACAGTTACCAGGCAAGCAGAAGGCCACCTGGATGAGCTGCTGCTGGGACAATAAAGTGAGTGAAGGGTTAACTATAGCATGAAGAGGGTTGGAGTTCCTCTACTTTTGGCAAAATTTTTCCTCTTTGTTTGCCAAAGAAAATTGTAAAGTTTCGAGAAAATTTTATACGAAATGTGCAAAATATGGGTAATTTATTTGAGGTATTTCTTCTCTAGACTAATTATAACTATTCTATGGCCTTATATCTGATAAGGCATGCAAGTATTGATGTCCATATCATTGAATGTTAATATAAGTATCTAAAACTGCATTCAGATTCACACATTGCACTAGCTGGAACAGTGCAACTCTTTGGAGAATTCTCACTAAAGTTCAATCAGTGGAATAAGCTTAATTGTCTGACATGCCTCCTTGAGCAGCTTTAGGGGGTAATTACCTGTACTCATGGTGTGCTGATTTAGCTGATTCCACTGAATGCACTTTATCGAAAATCCCCCACAGAGTTGGACCGACCCAGCTAGTACGATGTGTGAATGTGAATGCCCCCTAAGTGTATAATTTGTAATGTTTTATGTCATATGAGGTCAACAAGTGAAGATCTGATAAAAAGAAATTATCAGTGGAGATTAATTTCACTATATTCTCTTACCAAAATCCCATTAAGAATGCCCTTTAAATAAGTTAACCATACACTTGGATTATGCTCAATAATGAAAGGAGTAATTTTAGTAAATAAAGCTTTTGGTGAGTTTAATTGTGATGGAATATAGGTCTATAAAGATTGAAAAATTATTGAGAATTCCAGGAAATTCTTTTTAACAAATACTATTCTCTTAATTGAGAGCTTTTATTACTGTTTCATGATGTATGTTAAGTGTGATTTTCTATTAACTGAAAACTAATTAACATATTTTATCAGGAAAAAGGTTGCTTGTTTCCATAATATATGTGGTTATGTAATTATTTGAAAACGTTACTTGTAATGTTTATATTTATATATATTTCCTTTTGGTAGAGTGAAAATTTTCAAGAGAAATATAATTTTTGTCCCTTGTGCAAATTATTTATTGCATTAGATATATCTGCTATTATTGAATATCAAAGAGATCTGAATGAACTAGTAACAAAATAATTTCCATATAGTTAATGTCTGTAAAAAGTTGAGAATAAAGCAAATCTTCAGGCGTGGATCCTTGTTCTCTTACCACAACAGTGGCGGGTTTAAGGATGGCGGGGTGGAGGGTGGTCACGGCTCTTTACATAAGAATTTTGACTAGCTGAATCATAGTTCTAAACTGTACCAAATGGCACCATTTTAAGTCCAAAACGCCAAAATTTATGTGCCCCTCATGGCTAGACGGTAAATGCTCACTGAATCTCAGCTTCAGGATTTGAAGGCTTATACTTTTTAGTCAAATTGAGTAGGCCCCAGTTTCACAAAAAAACAAAAACAAAAAAACTTAAGTCAGTTTCCTGGCTTTGTTGACTAGTATTTCCATGAGAACGCTGTAACGCTACTCCTAATAGGGTTAAATGTACCCATGTGACCATGTAACCTTGGTAATTAAGTTCTAAGCCAGGGAATCTGACTTAAGTTATTCTTAACTATGAGTTACGCATATCTTCTCATTATCCGATTTTCTTGCGTAGTGAAATTGACCTTATTATTTACGAACTCTTTTGGGTGAAAACTTAGCCAAAGTAATGACCACTGTGTCATTTGAGTTGTTTATCATGAATGTGAATTTGTTGCTGTTGTTTGGATAGGTAAAACATAAGTTTCCGTTTTATGCCATTTTGAAGGGTTCTCAACCTCTATAACTATGGTGTGGCAATATTGAGAATTTTTTTCAGCTGCTGGTGTTTGTTTGCCGTTGACTTCATAAGGCGACCTGTTTGAGTTTCAATGTGCAAATGTAACTACTGGTTCTAAATCTTTTCAAGAATGTTCGTTTTTTCCCCGTCTTGAATAAAATTAAGTTTAAATAACGTTTTATACTGCATGACCTCAACTTGACAATCCTTGAAACCATACTTTGCCATATGTTCTGTGTTATGCAGTTGGCATTGTTCAAAAATTAGACAAAGATGTGAAGCTAACTCTACGAAGTTTTGAAACGAACAGTAAAAATTACAATACGTGACAACAAATATGGAGATGTTCTCTCAACAAACGCGGCTCAGGTTGAACTAATTATGTAGAGTCGCATTTCGCACCTGCAACGCATTTTGCAACCAGGAATTGCGGCTGTGCAAAATCCATATTACAAACTATGGCGCCTTTCATTGTCGATGATGAGACTCTTATCAGGGCCTTTAAATTTGGTCTGCCAATTGAAAATCGTCAAGCCACCAACCTAAATGATAATTGTTACAAAAAATAGTTGTCATATATGCTTTAAGCATCAATTCTGTCATAGGGGACATACACTTGTTAATCAGAAGAACAATTGAATTTCATCCAACGCTTTTCAATATAAGTACCAGTATGTGCATGTACTGTATGTAGTTACACACTCTTTGGTTGCCTTCTCAAAAATGGTGGATTTACCGACCTATAAATAATATTATTGCTCAATTTTCTCATAAGAAATGGTACCAGCGGTATCAGCTAAGAGGTGGGTCACAACCGTGTCGGACTTGCAAATTGGTCAGTGTCAAAGGTTGAATGGATATCGTTTAATGAAGCTGACCTTTCTTAACAAGTGTTTAGCAAACCGCTGACAAAATTTGCCAGGTATTACCTAAGTAATTTGCGAGAGGTGATTAGTGAACGTGTAATAGACTTCATAGAGCATCTCCAGAGCGTGGCATAAGTATTCTTAACTAGTATACTACCAGTGTGGTAGCCAATCAGAGGCCGTGGTTTAAGCCAGATACAACACTCGTCGCCGAGCTGTACGTGAAAATTACTCGAGTACTGTCTCGCCTGCGGCTCGCCAATACACTCGTAATATTTCACGTACAGCTCGGCGTCTCGTATTGTATCTATCACTTTATAGGGGGTTCACGGGTAAACGAATATTCTCTATCGGTATGTATATCATGTGAAGCCTCAGTCACAACCGGCTGTACGGGCTCTTACGGACTGTTTGCGTCCAAATTTTGCTCAGAATCTCACGTCCCACGCAAGACCTTCTTATGAAATTTCGAGTTCACAGACAGCCCGTAAGCACGTACGGAGGATGTTGGACATGTCCAAAAGATTCTACGAATAGCCTGCGAACAGCGAGGCCGCAAGCGTAACTTGCTCCCCTCGCACGGAGTTAGCAAGAGAGATGCGCGTTGTGCAAGACGCACGTCGCAAGCACAGGCCTACCCAACTACACTGTACCAGACTCGGCACATACGGATCCTGAATTAACCGGAAGGCCTATATCGGACCACTCTACCCATTTTCAATGTGTGTGTCAGATCGCATTTCGGAGTATCATACCCCAGAACAGTTTTTGTAGGGCGACCGCGGGCTCATCCTGTCGGTGTTCTGACTGATACTCCGAAATGCGATCTGACACACCTTGAAAACGGGTAGTGTGGTCCGCTATACCGGTTAATTCAGGATCCGTATGTGCCGAGTCTGGTAGTTGGGTAGGCCTGAAGCAATGAAGGAGCAAGTGCCCTTTGCCTGTTGAGTAAGGCGCACGCCCTCACAACTAACGAACAAAGTAGAGAGCACACCGGGAATGCGTCGCACGTTCGTCACCCTCACGCCTGGTGTATAAAAGGCGTGCTCAGGACGCACGCTCTTGTCTCTACAATGAACGTCGACTGTGTAACGTGTACAATTTGCAAAATTTTCAAAACCGACGGAAAAGGGCACTACTTTAGCCGTGCGTTGCATTCCCTTCGTAAGTGGTGAGTGTGTGCCACGTACACAAGACGCAAGACAAACTCAAGAAATGAGTACAATTTGAAAGGACATCTCATGTGGCCCTTGCGACTCGCAAGGCAGACTTTCCTCTACCTCTACGAACTCCACGGCCTCCGCAACACCCAAAAATCGCAGGGGACGTACGATCCTGAAAGTCGTGCGTCCGGTTGTGACCGAGGCTTGATATAATGCTATACCATCTCGTGATACATGCAGTTAAAACGTCAAGCGTCAGTTAAAGATACTTCGGTTGCCCAACGTTGTATGCAGTGTGTCAGCCCCCATGTGAAGACTTTCCATGACCTTGGTACCTGAAAGAAACATAAGCCTACACCCGAACATACGGTAGTGGTGAGGTTACTGTTAACAAAGAGCATGGACGCTGATGAGCTAGTATTT